AGCTGAATTTTGTGTTGCATATTGATTGGTACATATAGACTTCCGTTTAATAAATGAGACTATATATACATACTATCTTCTTCTATCTTTTATCTTGTGCTTTTTAGTTTCAGCATATAAGAGTGTTTAGCTCGTTTATCTTTGTATACTTTCTTTATGTTAGTTATTTTATCTTTTATGTTCATGCGCTCCTCTGTTTTCATCATAATGCCTAACTCTTGCTTGGGCTATTCATTCAAATATATATATCAATACTTTACTTAAGATGACAATTAAATAAAAATACTTTTTTTGTCCTATTGATCAATCAATTGTAATGTATTAGAGAAAATTTCAAGAGTAATATTATATTAATATGGTTTAGTATATGTAGAAGAATATTTTTTTCTAATGAAGATCTTTTAAACTGTTAGGATTTATAACTTAACAAATAAGATTTTAAAAACTCATCAATTGATATTTTTATCGGATAAACATTGTTTGATTTGAGATATACTTTCTTTGTACCAGTATTGGACATTTAATTGTAAATAAAACTCTGAAAGAAATTTTTCCTCGTTGATAAAAATGGTAATTCTTCATTTCATCTTCTTCTCTCCTCGACTTTCTCCAGAGTAGACAGTTCTGAAGCAAGAAATTTTCCTCACTTGAACTTAATTTTCTCAAAGTCATGATATATGAAAAGCTTAAATATTATCACATCTGACAGAGCATTAATCGCACTAGAAAATATTGCCATACACTTTCTTTTGAAAAGAACTTATTCAAAAGATTTTGGCAAAGACTCAATGTTTTTTGTCATCATCTCTGAATTCATTCTTATGTCAAAGCCGTGGACGAAAGCAGAAGGAAGTAAAAATAAAGTAGCTAATAACCAAGAACTCAGAAAATATAGGGAAATATCATAAGTGCAAGAATTCGTCGCCTTCAGAAACTAATTATCTCAATAGATTTTGGCAAAGTTTCTCCTACATATCAGTGCCTTGTATATTTTTGTAGTTAGAAATCTCATTCAATTTCAAAATCGAAAGACATATTCTAGATTTTCTTCGTTCGCCAACTTCTTCCATTTTTACTCTTCAAATACCGTTAGGTGTTCATAAAATATAGATTATTAATAGGAGAAAGTGCATCTTTATTTGAAAATAAAACAAATCTTTATTTTTAATACTTTTTTCTTCATTTATTTTCAATATAAAATCAGTTGCAATAGGATCACTATCAATTTGACAACCTCGTTCTATATTTATTAATGTTAACCTTGTTCATTGTTCTTGATCTTCTGTATTTTTAATATATGTGTTGATTCTTGCTAAGAATGAAAAGCTTCTTTTACAAGCACACATATTAATAAGAATAGTACAGTATGGGTGCTGATGTGGCTGACAGAGTTCTTCTCATCTCCACTCATCTTTCAAACTATGTTGCAAAAGGACGTGGTACATAATATCACAAGTGGGTCCACTGATATTTTCGATCTGCTATTGTGGAAGACATAAAATAATAGATCCCGACACGCCGCACATTTTGATGCTGTTTTGAATTCATTTTGGCACACTCAAATGGATAATATTGCTTACGCTTTATGCTTTATTTTTGAGTTTCTTACCATTACATGCGACTACATGAAAAACTGACCTGTGCACGTATTTTATGTTTACTGAGAATCCAAGATTCTATCAGTATAGGTATAGGACCGATAGATGTTGAAAAATGACAAAACACAGTTGCAACATTGGACTAACTGATTTACTCATAACTGAAACAGTGTCTAAACCATGGCGCAAAAACTATAAAAAATAACTGATTTTCTGCATTGTTATAACAAGATTTCGAACATATCAAAATACTTATTTCTGATTGAATTAAGTTTAGATAAAGGGCGCATACATCTTGAGAATGACATTAAAGATGTGGGTGTGAGTGTTCCTTTTACCCACACACCTCCACTCACACCCACACCCACCCACATCCACACCCACACCCAACCCCGATCGAGGTGACGAAAAAAGAAGAGAACCGAGGTATTCAGCTGTGCTAGAAATAAAGTAAATACAGAACATATTAAGTGCAATACCAAAAGCAGCCATAATTTCTGTATAGAGAGCAAGGATCAATAAGGTCATTTCATTCGTCAGAAACGTTTTGAGAGAAATACTTCATGGTAATAACAACTCGCGTGTGGCCTACAACATAGGTGTAAATATTTACTTTGACTTGGCACCGCGATTTTTCGCATCTTTACTACTTCTCCGCCAGATTATCTAAAAAACTTGGTGTTTCATTTTGTAGTGGAATGCCTACAGTACTATAAACCCGATGATGTTGATTACGAATACCATCTCAGTTTTTGTCTTAACCATTTCAGTGAATGAAGAGAGCAAAAGATTGAGGTGATTAAGAGACCAAATCGATCCCTTCCGAATTTCTACTCAAAATAAGCCATATACATGTGAAAGATAGCATTGTATCGTTTGACAAACTTTCAAATTGAAATACCAGAGTTTACAAGTCTTACACATCACTACACGGTATTCTAGATAACAACAAAAAATTGTGTCTCTTGGCGAGCGCAAGTCTGTTCATTGATTCATGATAACGTAGATCATTCGAGCGAGTTGAATGTGCGGGTGTAGGATATGGTGAGCCGTGGTTTCTTTCATTATTAGTGCCAGCATTCGCACATACTCATATCTATCGTCCATTTTTAATTATTATTATAAATCAAGTAAAACTGTTCAACTTTTACATTAATTAAGTCATGTTAATAAAATATTCCATCCTAGTTCAAGCAAATTGCACCAAAATTATGTTTGTGAAAGAGGTTCGACATTAAAGGAAAGAGTGATAGATAGAATTCTTCTTAACACTTAAAACCATTTTTACCTTGAATGGTTCTTTAAATTAACTGGAACCTTTGATGGCTACTTGAGAAATGAATGGAACCTTAAAAAAGTTGAGCATTTCCTGTAAAACCTTTAATGATTACTTGTAACACCGTTTTCTAGAGAGCATATACACCAACACCTATACTGACGCTGAACTCCACATACACTTGCATCCTTTTCCGTCTTGCTTTACATTATAGAAAGCCGTTTTGCCTGTTTGCTAATCTTTCTCTCTCTTTTTCACTCGCTAATCTCATTCTCCTAGCAGTCACAAGTGATTTTTCACTCATCTTATCGGATATTGTCTCGAAGAAAATCTTGAGAAAAAATTGACACCTGCTTCATTAAATCCTAGTATAAATCTAACCATTCCTTTATCATTTTCAAGCAAGATACAATAATGCTAATGATTTTTCTTCTACTATTGTTCGCTTCATCGTTGACAGCGGTGCAAATGAATGATACAATGCCATCGCTTTTACAGGCCATTTTTCTTCAGCCATCCACTGATAATTGTGTTCCTCGTACCAATAATTATTGTCATGTGGTGAATGCCCTACATGAAATGGTTTCGCCGAAAGAGAATCAAACAAGCTTGGACCATATGCTAGACATTATTCCTGACAACGAAACACTTAACTGGCTTGTTTTATTCGCTCTTCAACGTTTCTACTTATTCATGATGAATAATCCTCAGTTGCAACCGCATGACTTTCAATTTCTTTTTGATGAGTTGGTACGTGTTGCTTTACTACTTAGCGACCAAGGCTCCTCTGCCGTGATGTGGCATGATCTTAAACCACTTATTCGAAGTTTCGTTCTAGCCATTCACCCAGCAATACATCGCTAGTATGAGTATTCGTTTCTTTACAACTTACTCTGATAAGTAAACTAATGAATACAGAGAACAAGAGTCTCTGTTCGATAAAAAACCAATTGTCTTGCTATTGTATGTTGATGGATCAATACGCAGATTGCATATATGTAACAGAGATGTCATAATATGCGTAAGCTTGGTATAAACGAACTAGTAGTCACGATAGCTAGCAAAGCAGATACCCACAAAAAATGAATACCTTATTTTGAACAAGGGTGTGTGTGTAGGTATAAGTGAATGAGGAATGGTTGATGTGAGTGCAGATGGGGGTTCGGTGTAGGGTGTGAGTGTGGATGTTGGTCTTATCTTCACCACATCCACACCCTCCCACTCAAACGCTCACACTCCCACACCTCACAACACATTCATGACCCACTCATTTACACCTTCATCTCATACCCACACCGATAGTGAACTATCAATCAATGGTCACTGCCTCATTGTAATTGTTATTAGAAACACTGTCTTCAATGATAGCAACAAGGCGAAATTTAAAGATTAAGAATGCAAAATTCATATAAAAAAAAGAATGCTGCTGGTTGTTTTTTGAATAACTTTCAATAGGAACGAAAAAAAATCTAATTATTCCATCATTCGAGAGAAAAAAACCTGTACCATGGAATTCAGCCGAAATGTGATTTTGCCGTCTGATATGACTAATCAACTGAGAAAAGTCTTCTCTTTCGATCCATGCAAATGGTTTACTCTCAAAAGAGAGACCATTTTTGTGTCGACTAAGATTAAAAACTTAGCATATATGTGTACCTTTTTTTCCAAAAGAATTTGACACAATAGTTATGCTTCAGCCGTTAACAGTAATATCTTTACTTGTAGATTTCTTGCTGTAATCTATTCAAATTACAATTTTATGTGTCGTAAATTAATACCAAGCATTATTTCAAGATATTCAACTTATTTAAGTTCCCTTCCCTTTACATCTGCGAGGATGTGAGTGCAAGAAAGGTCCATCTCCCTATACTCGCACATTCTCTTTGATTATAAGTCCCAAATACAATCATTTGTGTTCACTAAAAACTTTCAATATTGAAAACACTAAAAGTAAAAGAAAATTTTCTTAAAAAACTTTAATTATTTTATTTATAATTGTTATTGATACATAGAACATAATAATCAAATTCTTTCGATTATAGAAAAAGAAAAACTTAAAAATAATGTTATTGAAGGCATCAGTCCTCTTTTCTCTATTCAACACTCTTCTCAATACAAAAATAAAATTATCTCATTTTAGAGGAGACACGTTCAATGTCTCTTTCAATGTCAGTCACGTTTGAATGTTCAGGTGATAATGATTGACGATAGATAGTGGCTGCCTTTTTATAATATTCTAACGCTTCTTTCCAATTTTTCACCGTTTCATATAACAGACCAATTTTTTTATTACTTGAACCAACGTCTTGATGTTGAGGAGGTAGTGATTTTTGTCTAATATCGAGCGCTGTTCTGTAATGGTTCATGGCATTATCATACTGACCAACAAGACGATAAACATCACCTATGCCAATAAGATTTGTCGCCATATCTGGATGATTAGAAGGTAAATGCTGCTTTTGAATACCCAATGAGCGTTGATAATAGATCAATGCATCTGAGTATTGCTTCTGAGCGCAACAGATACGAGCGACACCATAAAACCAAGAAGCTATATCTGGATGATTTGTAGCATTCGCGCGCTTGTAGCAGTCCATTGCTGTATTGTAAAATTTTGTTGCTTCAATAAAATTATTCTTTTCCAAATGAACACTCCCCATACAACAATGGAGACCACCAATGTAGATCAAATCAGATGGTTCCGTTCGAAGTTTTTTCTCCAATGCTCTTTGAAACCATAGTAGACTGCGATCAAAATCCTTTCTTTCTTTATACAGCATTCCAAATGAGACACATAAGTGAACATGTGATGAGTCATTGGGAGAATACTTTCGACGTAGATCGATATATATTTTTTCTGCCAAGTCATATTTTCCCATTTGCTGTAGTACATCACCAAAAGACTTGAGATCAACTTCTTCCGTACCAACTCCACAGTCTGATTTCAATTGATCGAAAAGCTTCTTCAAATTATTATCATTATTTTCTGCTAACTGCATTTGAATTATCCAGGCTTTTTCATTATCATCTCGATGAATATTAGTCAAACGAAATATACATCCAACCATAAATAATATTTCAGATTCATGAGGGAAGTAACTAAGCGAACTAATATCAGCGAATGGTCTTGATTTCACAACATGAGGATCAGCTCTAATATCGAATAATACTCGATGAAAATTATTCGAAACTTTCGAACGCTTCAAGAACTTTAATACTACATCATGATCAGCAGTAGTCGAGAAAAAAGAATTAATCGAGATGAATTGACCGACCGATCGTTTAAGAGCATTCAATTCATCAACATACATAGTTTGATAACGATACACACGAATAGGATTTTGACATTGATGCTTTTTTAGTCGTTCATGAATGTCACGAATTACAAAACGAAATAATAATAATAATTCAGTGTTCTGTACTCGCAAAGCTTTGTTTAACATTCTATATAAAAATGCATCACGAGTATACCACCATATAGCTTTTTTGGATTTATATTTACGTTCAAAGTCACGAATAATGGCTAGTTGAGGTTCATTATCATCAAATGTGTCTTTGCAAATTTCAATGAGTTGTTTTTTGTCAGCGTCACTAGATTCCATTCTAAGAAGAACATCGATTAATAATAGAAAATGAATAAAATGACCATTAAGTTCAGTTGTTGATTTATCTGCTTTACCACTAGCATTGTAAAAAGTCATAGACATTGGTTCTTCTTGGATTCCTCCATCTTGTTGATCAAGTGTGATTTGATTAATGAGATCATCAAGCAGAATGACCACACCTTTTATCTTCAAACAAGATAATGAAGAAGATTAAGATATAGAAAAGAAAAAAAAGAACTTCATACTTTATTAAACTCTTTAGCCCATTGTTTATATGCTTGTTTATCCCGACAAAAGATATAAACAGCAGAAAGCTGTCGAAGATGATGAATCTGAGGAACTAATTCTTTGCTTAATCGACCACTAGCGATAAGAATGAGTCGATCTTCTATAGAACAAGACATTATATATTGTCGACATTCGTTTGGATTATGAAATATGATGAGTTGATTGATGATTGAACGAAGTCGATTTTGAGCACGCCTATTCTCTTCTGTTGTATTGACTTCTGCATCAAGCCAAATAAGAGAAAATGTCTCTAAATTACTACGGCCTATCTCAGCGTTTGTATTCTTTGCAGCAGCCATATGTGTATGAATGATAATATTCGAATCAAATATTTTGATATAAATATGTTGGCCTTATCGTTATATTATTCAATGTAGTATGACGCGTCAGTTAGCATGCACATTACATTTTCTACTCGCTTGTTTTTTCATTCGTTTTATCGTATAGGTGATCATTAACCGTTTCTTCATCGAAAATTTTTCATGTATGAAATGTACAGATAAACAAACACAAATGTGTTTAACAACCAATAGAATGATAGTTTTTGATTGATTGCTTGTCATTTATCTATATATTTTGATTATATCATTAGATGAATGTAAAAATACAATTTATTTACAAAATATTCCCATCTTACAATTGTATGCATTTATTCACACTGTAGAAAAATATTTTTGCTTCTCTTCATTATTTAGTCAAATAAAGTAATACACCATTATTTTTTTTCTTATTGCTTGAAATAAATATTGAGAAAATTCAATTTTTTCTCGTTTATCCTCGAAAATAAATTAATTTGTTCTTTTGTCGAAAGTCGACTAATCAATATGGTTGTTTTCTGTCAAAAAGTTAAGAAATAGTTTTTTATTATTGAATACTCAAATGAATACTTGAATAGATCAGAGAGATACTTCATAACATTAGAAGTTTGTTGGCAGGTCTGGTAGGTACACCAAAGACTATAATAAGAGATTTCGACTATAACTGTTACTATGTCCTGTAATCAAACAATGATCAAGAAATTTAGAAGAAAGAATAGAATCTGGTTAAATTTATTGTTCCAACAAAATGAAACTTTCTGCAGCAATGAATAAATCTAACGTAGAAAATAGAATAATCTAGCTTTTTTGGCTTCATCAAACGTAACACTTTTACATAAAAAGACCTTTTCTTCTTCAGCATCGCTAATAAAACTCTAATTTCTTGTGAAAGTACTTCTTCAAATGAAATACTTCTAGAGCTAGTTTTGTAGAACTTCGAATGGGTTTTTAAGTAGTAAAAAGAAATATCTCTATAGTATTTTGACTCACACAAAAAAACGCAAAAAAGAAACATACCGCTGTTACACTATATTTTGATGATCAAATTGTACACATTTAGCATACTTAGACATATTTGGTTTTCATAAATACTGATCATTGCTGTACATATAATTGTTCTACATAAGAATCAAATCGCTACAGTCATACGGGAGCTCTTTAAACGTACAGTAAGTTGAAAATTGTTCAAGAATGTAGAATTTTTCCTTAGCAACGAAAATCAAAAGCAAATAGAACATTTTGTAGAGGATTGAATTCTGCATCGAATAGTATGTCATTCAGCATTTTTTTGAAAAAAGTTCTTAGTTAAGAAAATGAGAATAGGATTTTTGGAAAGTTTAAAACTTGCTTTTCAATGGCAAAGCTCAATTTTTTAAAAGAAAAAAATGTCAAATTTATAATCAGCGTAAAAAACCTGTATCTAATAATGTATTCAGGTCTGGGCATCTCGAAAAACAATTTTTCAAAGACTTGATCAGCGAAATGTAGCGTTATGTGGACAAGTCGATTTCTTCTGTTTACAATAATGAGAGTTCAATGATTGCTTGTATTTTCATGTATAAAACGAACAGGTGTATCCACAAAAAAAGCTCAAAAAATTTAAAACTTCTCATTTATAAAATAATAGCCATGTGTGAACTTGAAGGCACGATTCTCGATAGATATAGAGAAGTTCTACATCCAGCCATACTCACTCACTGTCACATCCATACACACATTCACCTACATCCACTGCTATTGCTAACCATGCACATATTCACAGATGTAGCCACAGCCGCACACACCTCCATCCGTACCCACGCCCATACCATTTCAGATTCATGATTTAAGTTAGTAACTTGCTAGAATTTACGATCAAACAAGATTTCATGGTAATATTCGATCTATTACCGATAGATTGATCATATCGTTGTATAGACCAGTTTGGCTGAGCTCGATCTGGCCTTTTCAGAATGATGCTGGTACCAATCGTCAAAAAAATTACATCAGTTTCATTTATGAAAAACGTTTGATCATCATTATTATTTCACCTGAAATAATCCTGCATGCATTTGCGATTACTTTTCATTTATTTTAATCTACTAGAAGTACATCATGATAATTCATTCATTTTTATACACAATTATCAATTGTTACTAATGTTTAATAGCACATTCTTAGTCAATAGATTTAACAGAAAAATAGCAATTATTCAATGACGTTATCATGTGTATTAAATATTTCAAATAAACAACAGATAAATATCTGTTCTCTCTTCATATAAGCTCTTCGAAGCTTTCATTTATTGATGATAATAAAAATCTTTATGTTCTCAGAAAATTGTTTAATTTCGAAGGACAATTGTCAGATAAGAATTCTAAATTAAAAAAACAGCGGTATTTTAACACAACAATCAACTCGATTATTAATATCAGATAAACAAAGAAAAACTTCTTTTATTTAACTACATGTCAATTAAGTACATAGAGATTAATTACGTTATTTTTATTAGTTTTGTGCAGTTTGTTATATTCATGCAACACACCGGAGGATTTTGTTATGATACAGTTAGATAGAGCATCGATTACTCAATCGAATCATACAGTTTTACATTTTATTTCCTTGAGTTTTAGTTTAAGAATCTAATAAATCTCGAAAAGTAGCCATAAAGGTTTTTTTGAACCAGAAAATTTCAAATTATTACTGAGATAACTTTTTCGGTGGCTATTACGTATTGGAGTACTGAAGCTTTTTATTTTTATGCAGAATGATAGATTGTACATTTCTCTATCGATTTATATAATTTTGATCAGATTAACGTTGAATCTTACAAATGAATTTTTCTGAAAAGTAATAAAAACTTGATTTTTCATTAGTATAAAAGTCGGTCAAAATTCAATAGCCAATATAAATTTTCTCCTCAATCTCGAATCCGTTTTGTTTAATATGTCTTGTACGAGAAAGTGTGATGAATCTCTGTCATCTAAAGTAATTTTCATTATAATTCAGTTTACTGTTGCTGAAATATGAGCATGCAAAAATTTCGTTTAGCATTTTGCGGACTTTACCAAGTTTTTGGACAAGTTCTAAGATAAGCGAAATAAAAACTACATAATTGCATATACTATCAAAAATAACGTAATCAACCTATAATTATCAATAAAAAATTTAATGAAAATATTGACAAATAAGAAACAACCAAAGATTATTTAATCTATGGAATATTATAAATGACTACATTGATTAATGTCAGTGGTCACTTTTTTAATGTATATCGAATTTAATGATTTTACTTATATAATCCGATCAAAATATTATCATTATCATATATTTCAAAACAAAAAACAACAAACGAATAATAAAAAATCTGATAGATAAATCTCATCCATATGTGTGAGTGTTCATATGGATGAAGATGTGGTTGCTGAACTTAGCTTAACTGAAATACTTACTCTCAGGCCCACGTCAGCATCCCACATTCATATCCTAATCAATATTCTGTAGACAATTCGACCAACAAAACATAGATTCTTTTCAACAATGCATCAATTGATAATCTCGGAATCGTATAGATAAACTGAGAGGAATGGAGCCAGACTAGAGACAGATATGAATAAATTGTTACAGTGTTGATTCTCATGGACAAATGCATATAAAAAAACTATCAATTCGATATCAAGACTTTCCCATGACTTTGCGCCGTTACAGAACAATCAACATCCTATCGAATAATGAATATCTAATTGATGTTCAATCAGTTGAACGTACTAGAAAATGAAGAAATTTGGACGAGAGTCTTATATGACTTGGTGACGGATCTGACACATTTTTTTTTACTCAATGGCGATAATCACATAGTTCGTCTACTGAAAAAAAAGAGTTATGTACTCGAAATAAAAACGCACTTTCTTCATCATAAGAGTTCTTTCAAGCGAACAATTATTATTTTCAAATATGACCAATCATTTATAAATAATAAATTTTGAAATATAGAATATAGACTAGTTTTATTTGTCGAAAGCTAAATTCTACTTGTCTAGATAGTCGTGGTCTCTATTGATGTTTTTGCGTGTTTTTTCGCCTCGAAACATTTTTAATAAAGTGCTATGTACTTTTTCCAAATTCTCATCTGAGTAATAAAAACAAATTTCCATTGGTATTGAATGTTGTAACGTTAAGGAAGTGAATTGTCATTGAGATGACTATTCTACCAGTATATGAGAGATATGTTAGTCAAATCTAGATTATAACTTATCTCAGTCTTTCTTATTATTAATATCCACCAACAACATGAGAGTCAACATTAGCAGCAAAGTTCTCATTGTTATCTTGTTCGTACTAAGTTTGTAATTATTGTTCTAGTTCATAGTAAAATAAGCGAATTTTCTCATTCAATGAACATCGAAATGAAGGTTTGAAAATCTTCGAAAAGTATGGCGTATGTTAAATCATTTAAAGTTGATAAGGCACATATCAGTTCAACAATTCGTTTTCTATACATTCACTCCAATATAATTTCGGTAGAAACTGATTAGAATATTCGATGCGCAAAACCATGATCTTAATGATAATGATTGTGAGTTTTTTGATAGACTTCAAACTTTGCTGCAAAGACTATCGATATAACGAAACAACAACAGTTACATGAATTTATTTATCTTTGAATTTTCTCTCCATTCGCACTCATCTATTTTTCAAAAATATCTTATGTTTGAAAATGTGGATCCTTCGAGTCAAAGTTCCTCTTTTCCCATCATATGTCAGTATTACAAAAGTCAGTGGCAACGTCCAGTGCTACTGTTCAACATTAGATAGATATTATTCATGTTTTTCAACTAACAAGACGCCTGTGAAGAATTAACAATAGGCTTAGGGTAGTCAACTTACTTCTCAGTATGGTCACGATAAATAGATAATGTGTATTGTCCCTTTGAAAAGAATATTTGATGAATGTACAGTGCTTATAACTCATTGGACTTCAGCATAGATTCCATCGCATTGGC